TCCTAGGAAACAAATTTCAAAGGGTTTTGGAGACTTCCTCTTTCAACAAGCATCCCACCCACTAGTCTATAAGTCATATTTGCTTCTAATAATTGAGTGCCACAATGAATTTTGCTACAAAGATGATCTCCAAAATCATTTTTCAACCAAAGCTAGATTTGTACCCAATAAATTTCCCTCCGAGAAACCACTTTTTTCTTTAGGCCTAGACACTACCTAGTGATTCTTTCTTCCCTCACCACTCCCCTCCACAAAAAATCCCTCTTCATCCCTTCGATCCTCCTAGCCACTATGCTAGGCTTTTAAGAGATAGACATAACATATGTGGGAAGTTTGGATAATACAAACTGCACTAGTGTTAATGCCACCCGCTAGAAATAAACACTCCACACTTTCAAACAATCAATTGAACAAAACAACAAAGATGACATTTTCAAAGTCATTTTTATTTTACAAAAAACAAAATCTTATTATGAAGATAAAAAAATGTAAAATTACAATAGTGGACAAGACATCCAACCAACATACTTGAAAACCAACAAAAACACTGGATGCCTCTTAGATGCCAAGAAACCTAAACTGACACGTGAAGCTCTCCAAACTGTCAAAATGCAAAAGAAAGGAATATCCACAAATTCGTCACTAATTGGACCCCAAAACAAAGGCAAAACATACAATCCTATTACATAACCCTTCCACCCCCTCAAATTATACTTTAAAAATTTTTAAATTCCTTTTCAACCACAAAACCATTTAATAGCAAGAATTGCACAATCCAAAGGATACAACCTTTCTTTTCTTTGTCGAAAGTATTGAAATCCATCGCAAACATAAATAAGGAAGATCAAGGAATCAACAAATTCAATCCTACAGATTGGAACAATTAGTGGCATAAGGGCAATGCCAAAAAAAGGTCATAAATGTTCTCAGCATCACGGCAACATATAGTGCACTATTGTACTGAAGGCAAGTTTTTGGTCATCTCATTAGAAGCACTTTGGCAGTAATTTTACAATGAGCATTTATTCAAGCCCAAACTTGGACTTATTATGCACTTTGACCTTCCATACCACCAAAAGAGGGCATAAAGAACGAAATTAAAGGATCATTAAGTAAAAGATCAAAGTATGAATTGCAAGAAAAAATTACAAATGAATACATGCCCCACCTTTTATGCCTGAACAATGTTTCAAATTTTAAAGTTCCTCTGTCATTCAGGTTTTCGATGGAATCTAAAATCCCAAGTGGTAGACAAGAGCAAAAGTCAATCATGAAATCAATACTAGAAACATGAACACCAGAATGATAAAGACTAGGAAACAAGCACAAAAAATGATGTTTTTTCATTCCTAGTCAAGGATCAAAATTTCGTTTCTAAGTTTTGGTTTGATCACCTAAGAAACGGAAACATTTTGACGTATTTCAGAAACGTTTCGACCCGTTTCGAAATCAAAATGAAAAAAGTAAAAAAATTAAGAATTATTTTTTTAAAACATTGGTCAAAATATCTTGAAATACCTTAAAACATTCTGAAATAATTGTGCAAATGCATTGAAATATAACAATACATTTCGAAGTATTATAGAATACCTCGAAATATTAAAATTTTAATTCAATCACTGATTCGTTTCAGTCTCATTGGAAACGGAAACGTTTCGGATGTTTTGATTGTTTCGAAACAATATTTTGATCTTTGTTCCCAGTATCCTCCTAGAAACGAATTCTAACCCCATAACCCGCGAATTGATAATATGAGACAATTCAGGTAAACCCTAAGGAATAAACTTTCATGGGCTTCAAAAGTTTCCCTATTTAACCACATTAGCATCCCAACACTAACTTGTAATCCATACTTACATTTGATAGCCAAATATCACAATGGGTTTCGCTCCACAAGAAAGCATCATAACCATTTCCCAGCTAAGATCACATTTCTAGCTAAAAAATTTCATGCCGATAGGACATGTTTTATCTATGATCTAGAAACCAACTTCCACTCAATCACATGATCTTTTTTGCCTTCATTGTCATCCCACAAGAAGTGTCTCATCATCTTTTTCAATCCTCTTAGCCACCTTACATTGCATCTTAAAAAGAGATATGTGAACGAGAATACTAGTCAATACCAAGGGGCAGCTACACTATCATTAACCTTCCTCCATTTGATAAAAAGCCTTCTTCGAACTATCCATTCTTTTTCCTACTCTTTTAACAACCGCATCACAAACAAAGGTATTTGGATGGTCCTATCATATTTTTCTCAAACTTTCATCTCACCCACCATTTTCTTCCAATTTATCTAACCCTTCAATTCTCTTCAAAATTGAACTCTTTTATGAACCTCACAAGATAATTGCATATATGAATCAACCATCAAATACCCCAAATACTTAGTAATATTGAAATTGCCCAAAGAACAAATTCTCACTCCTCTGTCCAAAATTTCCTCAATCTCCTTATAATGCAACATCATGGCTGACCCAATATTCCCATTTCCCCCTATTGTTGCTTCACCACCTTCAGCTCCTCCAAAAAATTCTCCCACTAGTCCATACACATTGTCAGCAACCAACCAAACCCTTTGTCCCTTCGCCCACTCTTTAATCATGTCTTTTTTTCTAGCCAAACAACATGGAATAAAGAGAATTTAATTTCTAAGGCATTTAAAATTTTAAGATGATAGAAAAAAAAATAGCAACAGAGACTCATCAATGCCAAAAATGCACTTTTCGACTTTTACGTAGACAAACTTGTAATATATAGACCTTACAAAAATCAATTTTTGATGGAGTCCAAATAAATGGCCAATTATCTTCTTCAAAGTAATTACTCTTTGTTTATGTACTAAAAGCAATAGCAAAGAACAATTAGACTGCACCTGGAAAAATTTTAACTAAAAGATGATAGGATTCCCAGTCCACCATTAATGACTGTACTATGCAATCACCATCAAGTTACCAAATAAAGGAAAATAATGAAAACATATCACACACCAGTATTTGAACTTGCTGAGATAAAAAACACAGTACCTTCATAGTTTAACCAAACACGGAAAAGGTTGTCAAGCAATTCAACTGAAAGGTGCGTAAACTTATATAAGCTAGAAAGATGAAGGTTCCATTTTACCTGAATGGACCTTTAGGATCACGTTGCAGAACTTCTACGGCATCAAGAGCTTCAAAAAGACATGGACCATTCCACCACGAACACACACTTTTGTCCACTCTTCTATTCATATTTAAACCAACAAGCCCCGATATTGGAAGAAACTGAACATCTGCACCATCAATAAAGAATAAATGAGATCGAAAAGCAACCACTCACAAATAAGTTGCCCTCGCAGTCCACAGACAGAAAAACAGATGAAGTGAAAAACTGTTAAGTAGTTTTATGAGGGATCGACTAAAAGGTAAGTTGTGAAGGGGAGTGGAGAAACAGCTGAGCTGATTTCTTATTTTACGAGGCATCAGGATCAGAGTTGACATATTACAATAAGAGTAATACCCACAGCATATGATACCTCAGGTCAGTAGAACCGTGAAAGGTTTAATCATTAGAATTTGTAAGCTCCTCCCCGTAAAACCAGTTTCACCAATCAAATGCACCTATACCATTCCAACTAGCTGCGGCCAAAAAAAATAATCACCCATGTCCCAAGGGAAAATATGTTTACCCCTACTAATTTCCAAAACAAAGATCAAAAAAGGAAAAACAAAGGGAAAACAATCCAATGGTATAGCACCTAAATAAATCCACTGGGTCTCATGAGACTCCTTCAATCTATTTCTTCATCTCATCCATTATAAGTTTTAACACACTATTTGTCATGAAGATATGTAGTTTCCAGTTAAAGTTAGGAACATAAGCGTCAAAAGCCAAAATGATCAAGGCAGATACCTTGCATTTATTAAAACATAAGGGTCAGGAAGAAGACCCTCATTTACCTTTCTTGACATTGTAACCTGAAGACTTCAAGAATGGTATCATTTTTGACTCAATTTCATCATACCTGGAAAAAGACAACAGCTCTAGCAAAAGGCAACTCATGGAAACCACACACGCCCAGAAAACAAATATGGTAAATCACCTCTGTTTTGACCAGTTCACAGTATGATCATCCATTTTATTTACAACAACAAGCAGCTTAGAGACACCCAAAGTCTTTGCAAGTTGAACATGTTCGCGTGTCTGTCCACCTCTCTCATATCCAGTTTCAAATTCCCCTTTTCGGGCAGATATTACCTGAATAACCGGGGAAAGGGACTTTTAGGAACCAAATGTGAAATTCATTCACGTTCCATATAGGATTTAAAAGTACATAGTGGTACTTACCAGTACACCTATATCAGCTTGAGATGCCCCACTGATCATATTCGGGACATAACTTTTGTGGCCCTGAAGAGACAATACAAACAATGGTGGAAATGGTGTCTCATCAAACCTCAATTTATTATCAAACCAATTACTTAATGGACATATGTTAGCGAATAACATGAAAACATAAGAATGTAAAAAATATATAGATTCCAGAATGTAGACTGGCTTCACGTTACAGTGAAGTACAAAGGTCGCTTGATCGGGAAGGAGGTCGCTTGAGTAAGTACTCAAACTACATCATTTTGAACTCATTTTTGACCCTATAAACACCCTCAAACCCCAATTTTCGCCATTCTTCTAATTTTCAACCCAAAAATATCTCTAGAGAAAGCAGGAAAGGAAATCTAGAGAGGGAAAAAATGGAGAAAGTCTGCTAGAACTTGGATTTCCTGAAGATTTCAAGGGTGTGGTTTGAATTTCTTGGATTTGAGGTAGCTTATTTTCCCTCTCATGTATATTCTATGTTTTATGCCGGTATTCATGATTATATGTGATTTCTTGCTAAGACACAGAGACACCATATTTTTATTAGAGTGGTTTTTTTAGTTTCTGGTTTTTTTATTATTTATTCTTTTTGAAAACACTGAAGACATGCGACCAACAGGCAGGAGAAACCCAGAAGACGCATTTTAGGATTTGTTTTTAATTCTTTCAGAGCATATCAAGTGCCTATATAAACAAGGAAGTTATTGTAATAATTTTTAAGAGATTGAAGTTAACATTAAAATATGAAGAGAGTAATAATCACTTCACAAACACAGAAAATAGATGAAATAATTTCGAACACGGCTGCAAAATGAAATACAAATAGAATACAGTTTTTACATGACAATAATTGGATAAAAATTAGGTTACACAATTGGTGATGTGATTTTTGTAATTAAATGAAAATTAATGTTACAACATGGGGGATGTTGAAATTGAGACTGCATAAATTATTGAAAGCTGAATCACAAATATTTACGATGAGTTTATCGTCATGTTTGATACTTTGTTTTTTTTATGATTTCGTGATGTTAGTTGTTGGAATTCTGGTGGATCTCTTAGAACTTATGAAGTTTTTAACTCTAAATTTGATGAAAATTATATTATATGTATATAAATGAATATACCATTTGTAACTTGTCCCCAACGTGCCTGTGTCCAAATTGTCTGAAAAATTTCATGTCAATAGTGTGTTCGTGCCATTTCATGTTATGTCTCATGTCTATGTCCATGCTTCTTAAATCCATTGTGATAAACAAGGGATTTTCAGTTCAAATGAGAGAGTGTTAATCTCTCGTGGTTTTTGTGAAGGATTACAAAATATAGACTTTATATGAAACTTTCTTGAAACCCTAGTTCTCTTTTGAAATGAGTTTTCCTGAGGGTTATGTTATTGCCCACAGTTTGAAGATTTAGCACTCTTAACAATGATTTCTTGAAAATCCTATCATGATTTTGAGTGGATTTTTCATGTGAGCATCATGTTTACATCAGTTGATGGTTGTAAACCCTTGATGAGAATTTTATTTTTTAAATGTTGTAAACTCAAGACCTAGACGCGGTCTTGGATTGTTTTGAAAATCCTATTTATATAAAACATTATTTGGCAACATTTTGTTGAGATCGAGATGTGAATACTAAATGGAGGAGTTGGTTCTATTTCATCATTTGAAATTTGAATGACACTATGGCCAGGCAGAGGATTAGTAGATGATTTTGATACCCTGTGAGGTTCCCACTTCCCAGAGATTGTGTTGGCCAGTGTAGCACCACAAGTTCCCATTACTAGTGTGTCTTGAAAATCCAGAATGGCATAGCATTCGTAGGGGCAAAGATAAAAAGTCTCACATAAAGGCTAAGATTTATCTGAGAATAGGAAGCCTCGCATAAAAAGTCATAGTTTCAATTCACATCTGATGCAAATCAAAAGTTGACCTGGAAANTGGCATAGCATTCGTAGGGGCAAAGATAAAAAGTCTCACATAAAGGCTAAGATTTATGTGAGAATAGGAAGCCTCACATAAAAAGTCATAGTTTCAATTCACATCTGATGCAAATCAAAAGTTGACCTGGAAAAAAATCTTAGCCCATTTAAGTGCAAGATCTACTTGGATTGGTTCAATAATTATCAATCATCAAAATGTTTCTATAATGTAAGATTGAGAAATCCAACCGGAATTTGTTCAGCATTTTGACATGTAAGCGGTTGTAAGCAAAAATCAGAATGCATGAAGGAGTTTCCCTTTATGGGCTTCTATATTGCTTCAGGCGATTTTGGAGTCGTCTTATAGGATTAGAAAGCTCCTAACCATGTTTTACTTCTCCCAAAGCTGACTTCTCTCGGAGTTTGCTGGCTAGGATTTATTTAAAACTAGATGGTGTTTCACACGGTTACCCATGTGAATATACTCATAACAGAATGAGTATGGGTGATTATTTAGAGAGAAATGAAGGGTAATAGAGATACATCCTCACATTCTCATCTATTTTCTCTTCATCATCCTTTCAGCACTAAGCCGATCAATTACAACAACAATCAAGTTTATTCCCTAGCCAAATTTCTTTTAGCGGCATCATACTAATAAATAACTGGGGCACCACAAGGGACAAAACATAGAGGAGTCTCAGAAGCTTGGAAGGATAGAGATGGGCGAATCTAAAGGACAATAAATTTCAGTGGCCTTAGGCTGCAGCGAAGTGTACTTAAGTATTTGCACAGGTAAATCTCAGAACTAATGACTTTAACCTTGCATTTGTTGCCAAGGCAGAAAAAAGTAAAGAGACAAAATTTCAGAGTCCCAGAAAAGTGTTTTGATATACTAAAACAGCCAAAACAGCATTTGTATTTTCAGCTGGTTCCCAAATTATTCGAGTACACCATAGTTGTCCAACTAGGAAATTAAGATTCTATTCTTCGCAAAGGCTTAGATGTACCTAGCCACCTTGGTTACCACCCCACCTGTTTTTCACCAATACTGCCCATTCAAGGCATTGTTTCTAATAATGGTGTACTTAAAAATCATAATTCAAAAGTAATGGCATACAAGTAAGGAAGATACACTAGAGACAGGGAGGAGGGGGAATCTGATCATTGACATGCAAAAATTATAACAGATTTTCAGTATTTGGAGAAAATGTACAAGCAACACCCAACATATGCCAGCAAAACGAAAAAGATTTATGGCAACGAGCAGGTTACCGGTGCATCCAAAATAGTAAATCTTGTTGTTTCTGTTTCGAAATGTGCCCTTCCAACTTCAACGGTTTTTCCCTACAATTAGCAATGCGCATTACAAATTAACCAAACAATCATAAAGGGAACTAATATTATCGTAATGAGAAGGTTTGCACCAATTTTGAAGACAGAAAACTAGATGCATACTTTAACCCTCTCCTCTTCATTGGTGTCCATAATGTATGCCATATACCTAACACACAAGAAGTTACAGTGGTTAGGAAGTGCAACTAAATGAAGCAAAAGATTTAGCTTTCCCCCGGCCCATGGTTGCTTAATCAACCGCATAAAACATTAGACTTGAAACCATGAAGATCAACTACATGTCAATAAATTAAAGAAGCAACCACATATGTATCTGAATTTGATTTAGACTCTCAATCCAGGTTTGGCACCATATATGCTAGGTTGCACCTAGAAGCAGCAATTTAAATTTAAAGCACACAAGAAGACTTAATCACAAAAGAACTTCGTTAAATAAAACATGTTCGCCTCAGCTCTTTTCGCATATTTCCACACATTCCCCATGGCTGAAATTGGCAGATGACTTCAGCAAACAGGCGATGTGAAGCTGAGATAGAAGTATAAGCCACAGCTGTTAGCAGTCGTGGATTCTGAAACATTTGCAGTGATATGTATACTGTTTTTTTCTAATAAACAAAAGCTGGTAGCTTCCTTCACAACATAAGGTGGTAGTAAGTTTGTAAACAATTTCTCTGCCTACTAATAGTGAATAAGAAAACAATGGCAGTCCAATGCAAAATTAAAATAGGGGTACAACTTGGGCGGGCTAACCTGAACCCAACCTGAAAAAAATAGGGTTTAATTTGAAGTTTTTATAGCTTGGGTTGAAAAACATCAGCCCCAGTTGAATTTGAGTCATACCCGGGTTAAGGCTTCGAGTTCATGAGTTAAACCTGAACCCAACCCGAATTACTAAAATTGGGCTCAACCCGAAATTAAAATATATATATACACACACAAAATTTAAGTATATTTTAAGTTTTTATTTAATTTATTTTGAATTTAGGTTGGTTAAGCTATTGTTTAATGCCAAAAATTGAGCCCGGAATTGACCCCAAATTACAAGCCCGAATTAGTTAACCCGCACCAACCCGAATGGAGCCCGAAATTAACTTCGACAATACTCCGGTTGAGTACCTCGAGTTGAAAGTCGGGTTCGGATTGGATTTGAGTTGAAAATTTTATAACTTGGATTAGGCCTAAATTGATTCTCTAACCCCGAGTTGCATCCCTATATCTTTTAAACATTTCCTTAGTTCGCCATTTCATAATTGTAAAACCACGATACAAAATGAGAAGGTGAAGAAATAAGATACTAGAAGTAAAAGAAAAAAGAAGGGATTTACCTCATCCGCATAAAGTAATGGTCAAGAAACATACAAACTATCCACATAGAATAATCAATTTATTTCCATTATTTCGTCCTCATCAAAAGAACTTTTGCGTGATCATTTATAGGTTAAGTCTCTCAGGAAGACCTAAACCATCCACCCAATAAAACTTGAACAAAATCCCAATTCAAAACACTTTGTTATTAAATAGTCTTAAGAATGATAGAAATAAACCAAATAAATCCTAAACAATATAATAATATTAGAATAAAATCCTAATCCTAAACTTCACTCCCCATGATTATCTTGTTCCGTTTCCAATTTTCGTCAATGCTCCCCGGTAGACAAAAAAAAAAATTAAAGAGTTTTGATAGCAAAAATACTCCAAAAGAACAGATATGCAAAATGAATGTTTAACTTAGATAGGATCGTAATAATGCGCACTGCATTGGAGAAACCCTTTGGGATTGCATTATCAGTAACAATTGATATAGGACAAGGATGAGAACTTTAGGCTCATTGAATTGGATATTAAACAATTTTGCCTAATCATTTAGTTGGAATGGAGCTAGTGTTGGAGCTCGTGTGTAGGAACTTCTTCAACCACATGTTAATTGGTAGTTGAAGAAACAAAACTAATATAATCCTTTGTATCATCAATACTAGCCAGTGCTATTTCATTTCTTGAATCCAATGATGCTTTGAGTGAAGCTAGGCTACACGTGCAAGTTTGATGCTTTACCCTATCATTTTGTGCTTTTGCTATGACCATAAGTCTAACAAATAACTTTTGGTTGTCATCATCTTTTGGGAGGAGGGGCTCGAAAATTTGTATGGAAGAAAGGGGTCAATGCCATAATTTCAAAAAGTGACCTTTGGAAGCCCGTATACAAAATTGGACTTAATTGTCAAAAAGTACATAGAAAAAAATATTTTGTAAAAAAATTCACTTAAGACATAGAAAGACTTGAATACCCTTTTATTGTAAATAAGTTTCCTAAAAAAGATTTTGGAAAAAAATTTCATATTTATATATGTAAATATATATATATATTTATAGGAGTTCTAATAAAACAAAAACCTAAAATTTACGAAAATCAAAACCCATAATAAATCCTCTCCATTTTTTTAGGGATATGTTTCCAAGTTTTTGGAAACTTTTTAAATTTGACAACTAATTAAAGAATTTTAATTATCTTAATTGATTTTAGATTTAATTTGGTGACATATATATGTGTGTTAATATATATATATATATATACTAGTTATTACCTGTGGCTGAAGGNTTTTTAGGGATATGTTTCCAAGTTTTTGGAAACTTTTTAAATTTGACAACTAATTAAGGAATTTTAATTATCTTAATTGATTTTAGATTTAATTTGGTGACATATATGTGTGTTAATATATATATATATACTAGTTATTACCTGTGGNATGGCTGCGACGGTGGCAGTGGTGGGGGGTGGCAATGGTGGTGGTGGCGGCGGCGGCGGCGGCAGAGGTAGTGGTGGAGCGGTTCAAAACAATATATATATTTTTTAAAGTACTTATGGGAATTAATTTCTAAAAACACTTTTAAAAAATTACTCCAAACACACCCTTAGGGGCCTATTTTTTTCTATTAAATTTGAAGTTTTAATATTAGTCGTTAGATTAACTTTAAAGTAAAATTTAAAGCGATCTCAACCGCGAATAACAAAAATCATTTTGTTTATGTTTTGAGATTTGAATTGTAAAAGTCATTTTGTTTTATTATATAGATATATATATATATATATATATATATAATACTACAAAGTCACACAATTAAGCCTAGTAATTAAAATTCCTCAATTTTAGTTGTCAAATTTTCAAAAGTTTTCAAAAATTTTGAAACATATCCCTAAAAAAATAGAGAAGATTTATTATGGGTATGATTTTTCTAAATTTTAGGTTTTTGTTTTATTAGAACTCCTATATATATGAGGACAAATATGTCAAAAGAAAATCACAAAAAGTCAAATTGTGTACTTGGACACAATTAAATTCTAAAAATAAGGACTTAATAATAACCTAACATTAAGAATTGTGTACTTTTTGACAATTGAGTCTAATTTTGTGTACCCTTTACAATTAACCCTTTCAAAAACATTGGGCCGTTAAGGTAACTTTGAAACACTTTCAAGAAATTAGGTAATGTCAAAAAAAATTCTAAGGCTTTGGTGAAAATTTTGAAAGGTTAGGGGTGAATATGTAATTTCAGAAATTTTGCATTTGGATGGACCAATTGGGCTTTTTTTCTTGGTTTCTCTAAAATTGTCTGGCTTGAATGGACTAGATTAGAATTGTGGTAATGGATAGGGTCTAGGACAAGTTAAAAATCGTGTCGAGTTGAATCCAACTTTTAAAACCCAGCAACAGTCTTCTTCTTCCATCTAAATCTACTTCAACATCAAAACCCTAACTTACTTTCAGCAGCAACAAGTGTGAAGCACACAACAGCGGTAGGGATCTGGTGGTTAGTGGCGACAATGGGTCCACTGTGACACTCCGGCTTNCCTAAAAAAATAGAGAAGATTTATTATGGGTATGATTTTTCTAAATTTTAGGTTTTTGTTTTATTAGAACTCCTATATATATGAGGACAAATATGTCAAAAGAAAATCACAAAAAGTCAAATTGTGTACTTGGACACAATTAAATTCTAAAAATAAGGACTTAATAATAACCTAACATTAAGAATTGTGTACTTTTTGACAATTGAGTCTAATTTTGTGTACCCTTTACAATTAACCCTTTCAAAAACATTGGGCCGTTAAGGTAACTTTGAAACACTTTCAAGAAATTAGGTAATGTCAAAAAAAATTCTAAGGCTTTGGTGAAAATTTTGAAAGGTTAGGGGTGAATATGTAATTTCAGAAATTTTGCATTTGGATGGACCAATTGGGCTTTTTTTCTTGGTTTCTCTAAAATTGTCTGGCTTGAATGGACTAGATTAGAATTGTGGTAATGGATAGGGTCTAGGACAAGTTAAAAATCGTGTCGAGTTGAATCCAACTTTTAAAACCCAGCAACAGTCTTCTTCTTCCATCTAAATCTACTTCAACATCAAAACCCTAACTTACTTTCAGCAGCAACAAGTGTGAAGCACCCAACAGCGGTAGGGATCTGGTGGTTAGTGGCGACAATGGGTCCACTGCGACACTCCGGCTCNATCTACTTCAACATCAAAACCCTAACTTACTTTCAGCAGCAACAAGTGTGAAGCACACAACAGCGGTAGGGATCTGGTGGTTAGTGGCGACAATGGGTCCACTGTGACACTCCGGCTTTGACACCAATTGATGCAGGATGGAAAGGAGAAGAAATCATAAAATAGAATGATAAGACGAGTCAAGGGATTTACCTCATCCTCGCAAGGAATAGATTAAACATCACCTAAATTCTCCACAAAGAATAATCAATAAAATTCCATTACATCACTCTCATCAAAAGAATAAGGTAAATTCTTCCACTAAACCTAAATTCCCTTCATGATAAAATTCAATCAAATCACCCCTTAATTAAATAGGCTGATAAAAATAAAAATCTAATGGAGAAAAGAAATAAAAGTACAAGTAGTTAGGACTATGCCAAAGTAGGAAGGAAACTGAACAAACAAATGTAACATATACAAGTGACAACTTTGACACCTGTCAAACTCAGCAAGATAGAGAAATAATTATATAGTTGAAACACAACTTTTCTTTTATTTTTAATCCCCCAAGTGCACGGAAACTATGCTAAATAGGAACAATGCAGGAATTCCGTTCTCTAAAGTATGAGATGTTTAATTAGCTTTGACATTGCATCTAAGTCAGTGAAACCAAGGACCTCCAAAATATGTTGAAGCGGCAGAAGTTTGACAGGGGAAGGGCATACACTAATTTGCTTTGCATTCCTAAGTGGTAGCACAAGTTCTGAATGAATAGAATGAAATAAACACTAAATTTGAGATATCAAATAAATCCAAAAGTTTTTCACTATTCTAGGTACCCTAAAGCTGACTCTCAGCTTGCATATTTCATGGCCATAGAACAAAGTTTCATAAAGGATCACATCACTGAACAAAAATAAGATCACTTTATCACTAAACCAATTTGCTTTTTTTTTTTTGAGTTGCATTATTCCTATACGAGTGACCTAACGTTACTGCAGAGGATAGCAAAATAAAAGGCACATTTGATTAAGATTACACCAAGAAAACATTTGTGCAATAAACAATGATAGTAACTTCTACCATTCTCCCAACGCAAAGCAATGACTGGACATGGTTTGGAGATATTGACCAAGTGAAAAGATACACTAAGCACTCCTAAATAAAAGGGCGACTGAGAAACATTTTTGCATTTCACCTGTTCTTCCATACAAGAAATACAAAAATAGAGCACAAGTTCATGCCATTTAAGAGAGAGAAGCAAAAAGAGGTCTCACCAGCTCTCTCTACTCTTATCCTTTGCTTCTTTCTCATACTTTTGAATTGTGCGATCGTCAACCCGACCACTGAGAAATAGTATTTGCCCTCCTGTTGTTGACTTGCCAGCATCTGCAACCCAGAAGAAAGAATCACACAAGTAATTGACCAGGTAATTTGTAAAAATCATCAACTAAACCAACAAAAGCAGATTGAATCTGTGTTAAACAGTATGTTACAAAGCCTCAATTTTCATTGTTCACAGTTTCATTAAACATTCACTTGAAATGCAGGTTGAACATCAGAAATATAAAAATCCAAGTATCACTACCGATTACCAGGATAAAGTGGAGAGAGAAAGAGAGAGAATGTTTTTGGAACAGAGCCAAAAAATACGCATCAGGTGGCAAGAAAATGAAGCACAATTGTAAAAGTAGTTATATTTCCATGGGAAATCAAAATGTCGAATACATTAATTTGTGCTAGGCAAGTCAAGGGAAAAAATCACCTCAGAAAGATTGTCCATATGCAGGTTGGTTCTGACCCTTTTCCCTTGTTTTTCTTTTGGAGGGGTATTCCTCAGACAAGTTTTCAAAGTTTAAGTTCAGATTTTGTCAAAGATGGAAATGCAATCAATTTGGGCGTTTAAAAACCACAAGATTTAGAGCCAAATTCCACAGTTTAGCTTCCCAAAACAACCAGCTGGCTAGATCTAATTTTTTTCTTATCTGTTCTAGCTTGAGCCAACCGTAAAGGAGCAAGTTGCTTCAGGAGAAAGTCCTTTCTCCTGGGAACAACAGTAGTACATAGAAACAAGGTTGTGTATCGTAACGTATCGTGTATTGTAAGATGCGCTCAATTTATATATGTATTATGCACACACGCATACCTAAAAATATGTAAATATGTAGTATTAGAAGTAACATAAAGATCATTTCAATTCGCTTATCATTTCGAGTTCTCACGATAGAAACCAAAAAAGAGACAATCGTTCGTTTTCACGAAAGAGATCAAAACATAGCGAGATTTTTGTAGATTTGAAGGAGAAGAAAAAAGAATAGGATTCGGAAGAAGTAAAAAAGGTTGCAGGAAAAGAAGATGATCTAAAGTTTCGTTTGTTTGAGATCACACCCAAAAAAATTAGCATATAGGAAACAACGTTGTTCCACTGTTTAGTGTAAAAAAGGTGGTGTGACATGTGGTGGAAAAATTAAAAACCTGACCTTCTAGGTATCATTTTTCCATCGTATCAAAACATATCATGAGATACGTAACGTGTATAGTGAAATATGGTGAAAAAATGATAACGTAGATATGTATCGTTGGGGTATCGTAAGATACTGCAAATTATACAGAGATAATGCAACTACTACCAAACAAAAGCCACCATCATTGTCCCTTAGAGAGAGGGAGCATCAAAAACGTCATCAAAAAGGGCAAGGCGTTTGAGGCCTCAAACTCATCCGCAGTTGGGGAATGACAAAAGAACTTTCTCACTTGAACGCATCAACAAAACTGCCCTTCCATATAGATCGTTGTGACATGAACTTTGGAACACAGCAACAAAAAAGTTACATGAGATGACTTTGATACAAAGTGACATTTACATCCACTTTTCGGATGTCAGGGGCAAGCCTCCTTGTTACTAGTATAACATGATACAGTATGGAACTCCACTGCCACAGATTTCAATATTTGCTGCATCTAAATGGTTGACCAAGTCCCGAAGAATTAGTTATAAATGCAAACTAATTTTCATTATTGTGATTCCAGATTTGTAAAAGAAATGTTCGACAAAAATCATGAAATACTAAACATTTCAAACCAGAGTTCCAGAAAGAATGGAAACCAGTTTTTCCTATCAATTTCAACTCATAGCCTCCAAATACAGGAGAAAACTCATCCGATAAAAAGTGTTAATAACTCTAAATTTCAGGAATGTAACAGCCATTAAGTAACCAGAACAGAGGATCCTGGTCCTGTCATGAGCGATTCTTCAAATAGGCTCCCATGGGGCCATTGCACGCTGTATCATATGCTACAAACTAATGTGTCACCCTGCAGCCTGTGAATCATGGTTTTTGTTGACAGATATTGAAAACCAACATTTTTCCAAAGTATTCTCTCACTCTAAACCATAGATAGTCCAATTCGGAACAATGTTTGCACATTTTCTAATAAAAAACTAAGCTAGGCTCAATCTATATTAACTCCCACAAAATTAAAAAAAATGATCACAAGGCTCTGAACTCAAAATAATAGGAGCATTGAGAACACGTGAAGAGAACAAGATGATATACAAGACATATATACACATGTACACAAATAACAACAGGGCATAAGCCAAGAAAGTCCATCTCATATCAAAAACCAACAAAAATAGGCAAATAATCAATGACACGTCAAAATAGTCAATATTTCTCGGATAATCAACATCACACTAAAATAGAAATACGATCATAACTCTAGGGAAGATCAACATACCCACATGACCAATGAATACAACATTTAAGTGTCGCTTCTTGTTATCTTCCACCTCTTCTTCAGCATCTTCTGTATGATATAAGTGCAAGATATTATTACTGTACAGTGACAACTAAAAAGTGCTTACAAGAAACAAAAAAGGTTGAGCTGAAAAAATGGCAACAGCCTTATAACTGCATGCAGTATTAGCTCTATGTCAACTCCATCATGTAAAAAACAGAGACATGAGCAAGCCAAAAAATCCATTGTGAAAAAGTTCAATGACAATTACTTCTTGTGCACATTGNCCCCCCCCCCCCCCCCCCCCATAAAAAAGAACAAGAAAGGAGCACTGACACATAAGGAAACAACAGACCTTCAATGACCTTTTTTGGTTCCACATCCACTGCCTTATAATTTGCATGTGCCTCGTCCTTCAAACCTGAAATGAACACAGAAAAAACACCCTGCGCATGATACTGTTTATAATCTGACAAAAGTTTCTATGCAGTGTCTCAACAAGCATATATACCGCAAAAAATTTGGAGCCTTCTGGTGTTGGCATTGGTTAGATATCCACAAAACAAACTTGTGAGTGTCGAGAAACATACATTCAAGTCTCAAGGACAACTAAAAAGTGCTTACAAGAAACAAAAAAGGTTGAGCTGAAAAAATGGCAACAGCCTTATAACTGCATGCAGTATTAGCTCTATGTCAACTCCATCATGTAAAAAACAGAGACATGAGCAAGCCAAAAAATCCATTGTGAAAAAGTTCAATGACAATTACTTCTTGTGCACATTGTCAGGGGTACTACCTACCTTCTTCCATTGTATCGGTTTTCTTAACTTCCACAGGCTCCCCTTCTTTTGCATTAGCCATCACACTATCTTCTGCCAGCATTGAATCGGCAATTCAATAAGATATTCAAGAATAGCTTCTCTTAACCATAATGATTTTGACAACTTTCAATCAGACATGAATATTACTTCAGTAAGAGTCCTAATGATAATAAGGACCACAACCGTATAATGCAAGCAATAAATAATAAACTAGACGTCCTGCACACCCAAGTGAAAAAATAAATAGACAGTTGAATAAGATTAAAAATGGTGTTGGGTAGTTATTTGGAAGAAATAAAGGGTAATATTGACATTTTATGAATAGAGGAGATTGAATGGAGTTAAAGAGTGAGTTATCGGTTATTTGGAAAGAAATGGAGGATATACTATGGACAATTTAGGAGTGGACACCAAACCCTCCTCTCAATAGTATAGAAGATAGATATACCAAATGAATCAGGCAGAAATGCCTAGACATTCTCCTCAATAAAAATTACATATGAATGGTTAATGATGTTGTTTGCCTAGTAGTGAATGGGGACAACAAGGGATAATTGTGTAGTGAGGTGACGTTGGAGTGATAGGGTTTGTTTCTTCTACACCTATAGTGTCATGCATATGGAGAGAAAGGTGCATGAAACTGTCCAACTGTCCATAAATACGCAGAGAGACACTCAGACCTTGAATTTCCCACACCTTTATATCCTTTTTAAATACTATATTTGCCTCTTTCCTATCAAGCATTGCTCACAAAAGGATTCTGGCAGAAAGAGATGTTCCTGCCTATCTCCAAGGCATGGGGGTTGTATGTGTTGTCAAAATGTACCCTTTCAGAAAAAAAACCCTTGACTCTCTCCCCAGACTCACTGATGCAGCCAAACCTGATGAAACAGAACCCTAGCAACTTATTAATGCAATCATAACTAGCATGTGATCAGACCAAAATAGAAGACAACATATTTAACATCAACAAGCCTAAAAACATACTAGGACTGTTGAAAGCCTAGCCATTCAGATTTGCCTAAAGAGGCAGTTTAGCACATTTCTTAGACTTCTCTTTCCCGTCAGGTTTCTTAATCCTCAGAAAATTAAGAGTGGCACGTAATCTCAATAAGCAGCATTAGAGACATTTATAGGAATAAAATAATGTGAAAAAACATAAGTGCCCACTCGGGCTGATAATTACATGTAAGATGTGCCCAAAACACTACCAATTTTTTTGGGATCCCCTAAGGAATAAAACCCTGAAGAGCTGCAAAAGCCGGTGAAACATGCCCCACCATCACCTGTCATCTACCGTTAAACAAGTTGACCGAAAAGGTAGAGGTTCACCACCATCATTAAGACGGTAAATATTGTTGGGAGTAGAAAATAACGGAAAATCAAGTGCAACTCGTAAAAACATGAAAGAAACTCATCAAATTATACGCAAGTTAAAAAGATAAAATGAACCACAACTCAATTTCTACTGGTAAAAAAAAAATTAATTTCTACCGGTAACAGAAACATGACTTTCAAGGATTTGAATAAAAACAAATCCCTTTTACTGGAAAAAAAAAAAAAAGGTGTTATATGTAGGACTTGTTAAAACTATGCCAATTGCCAACTCAATCAAGAAAGGCAGAAGAAATGACGTAACTACCTTCTTTCACATTATCAGACTTTTCAACTTCATCAGGGTTGTCATCCGGTGCATTAGCCATCACACTATCTTCTGTTAGGACGCAAGCAAATTCAAAAAGATACTCAAAACTAGCATATCTTAATTTCTAAAACTAAAATAATCATTATAAGGGAAAAGTGAATTATTACTACCATATATATTAAAAATTAAGGAACTAACAATTCTTCATAAAAACCTCATTTTTAATAATTCAACAACACAATAGTGGAATCATAATTATACCAGATGAATCAAGCTGCAATGCCCGGATGTCCTCCTCGATATCTATCATTTGAAAACAACTCCAACACGTTATTCACCAACAATCACAACAGTGCTTAGACATAAAAGTACGGTATATAAATACACACATGCACATGAATACTTATAAGTACATATATTATTACTCAGAGACCAAACTCCATAATTACCTAAGTTTTAATGTATACATACGCATATGGCTAACGAATAAAACCCCTGCTCTTGTTTCAATATATGTGTGTATATATAACATAGATATATAAGACTACAAAAAGTGTCAAATACGTCCACTATGGATGGTCGTTATGAGCTTTTTCCAATCAATTTCTTTTCTTTTCCCAGTTTTTCAATTCTCAGCAACAAAGCACCATGCAATCAAACTTACGCATCAAATATGAATCCCATAGCAGTTTTACAGTTCAATTTATTTTCATTCAGTTCTCTCAGCAACCAAACAACAAGCAATCAAAACTATGCACAAACTCAAATGCACAATAAAATGGATTTATATAAATCAGCAAAATGCATAAACGTAGAGCTATAAATCTGATGAACACATATTGAAAATAATTCGGATAGAGAGGGGGATTACCCATAGTTGGAGACACTACGGACACTAGGGTTTTTGCGGAAATGAAGAGCAGCGCAGAGCCGAGCCAATGGAGAGCAAGGCGTGTGGGACTCTGGAAGGTACCACCTGTATTGGCAGACAAAGTATATTATGCGACTCTGCGTGCTTGCAAATCAAATGTGTCCACTACAGTACTAAGATAAACTTCTCATAACTAGGTGTTCCATTTGGAGGTTTAAAAAAATCAAATTTCTTTCTTTCTTTTTTTTGGAAAAAAACTCGTTAATTAACTACAAATCCTTCTCACTCTTGGCTGGCTTACCAACTGAGCCAGAAATCCAACCCCACTCTTCACAGTTTGACCAGATGAGGGCTTGTTTGGATCGCAGCATAGGAGTGGATTGGATATCTAAAAAAATATCCTTTCCCATCCAACCCAAANCCCTTCTTTTGCATTAGCCATCACACTATCTTCTGCCAGCATTGAATCGGCAATTCAATAAGATATTCAAGAATAGCTTCTCTTAACCATAATGATTTTGACAACTTTCAATCAGACATGAATATTACTTCAGTAAGAGTCCTAATGATAATAAGGACCACAACCGTATAATGCAAGCAATAAATAATAAACTAGACGTCCTGCACACCCAAGTGAAAAAATAAATAGACAGTTGAATAAGATTAAAAATGGTGTTGGGTAGTTATTTGGAAGAAATAAAGGGTAATATTGACATTTTATGAATAGAGGAGATTGAATGGAGTTAAAGAGTGAGTTATCGGTTATTTGGAAAGAAATGGAGGATACTATGGACAATTTAGGAGTGGACACCAAACCCTCCTCTCAATAGTATAGAAGATAGATATACCAAATGAATCAGGCAGAAATGCCTAGACATTCTCCTCAATAAAAATTACATATGAATGGTTAATGATGTTGTTTGCCTAGTAGTGAATGGGGACAACAAGGGATAATTGTGTAGTGAGGTGACGTTGGAGTGATAGGGTTTGTTTCTTCTACACCTATAGTGTCATGCATATGGAGAGAAAGGTGCATGAAACTGTCCAACTGTCCATAAATACGCAGAGAGACACTCAGACCTTGAATTTCCCACACCTTTATATCCTTTTTAAATACTATATTTGCCTCTTTCCTATCAAGCATTGCTCACAAAAGGATTCTGGCAGAAAGAGATGTTCCTGCCTATCTCCAAGGCATGGGGGTTGTATGTGTTGTCAAAATGTACCCTTTCAGAAAAAAAACCCTTGACTCTCTCCCCAGACTCACTGATGCAGCCAAACCTGATGAAACAGAACCCTAGCAACTTATTAATGCAATCATAACTAGCATGTGATCAGACCAAAATAGAAGACAACATATTTAACATCAACAAGCCTAAAAACATACTAGGACTGTTGAAAGCCTAGCCATTCAGATTTGCCTAAAGAGGCAGTTTAGCACATTTCTTAGACTTCTCTTTCCCGTCAGGTTTCTTAATCCTCAGAAAATTAAGAGTGGCACGTAATCTCAATAAGCAGCATTAGAGACATTTATAGGAATAAAATAATGTGAAAAAACATAAGTGCCCACTCGGGCTGATAATTACATGTAAGATGTGCCCAAAACACTACCAATTTTTTTGGGATCCCCTAAGGAATAAAACCCTGAAGAGCTGCAAAAGCCGGTGAAACATGCCCCACCATCACCTGTCATCTACCGTTAAACAAGTTGACCGAAAAGGTAGAGGTTCACCACCATCATTAAGACGGTAAATATTGTTGGGAGTAGAAAATAACGGAAAATCAAGTGCAACTCGTAAAAACATGAAAGAAACTCATCAAATTATACGCAAGTTAAAAAGATAAAATGAACCACAACTCAATTTCTACTGGTAAAAAAAAAATTAATTTCTACCGGTAACAGAAACATGACTTTCAAGGATTTGAATAAAAACAAATCCCTTTTACTGGAAAAAAAAAAAAAAGGTGTTATATNAAACATGACTTTCAAGGATTTGAATAAAAACAAATCCCTTTTACTGGAAAAAAAAAAGGTGTTATACGTAGGACTTGTTAAAACTATGCCAATTGCCAACTCAATCAAGAAAGGCAGAAGAAATGACGTAACTACCTTCTTTCACATTATCAGACTTTTCAACTTCATCAGGGTTGTCATCCGGTGCATTAGCCATCACACTATCTTCTGTTAGGACGCAAGCAAATTCAAAAAGATACTCAAAACTAGCATATCTTAATTTCTAAAACTAAAATAATCATTATAAGGGAAAAGTGAATTATTACTACCATATATATTAAAAATTAAGGAACTAACAATTCTTCATAAAAACCTCATTTTTAATAATTCAACAACACAATAGTGGAATCATAATTATACCAGATGAATCAAGCTGCAATGCCCGGATGTCCTCCTCGATATCTATCATTTGAAAACAACTCCAACACGTTATTCACCAACAATCACAACAGTACTTAGACATAAAAGTACGGTATATAAATACACACATGCACATGAATACATATAAGTACATATATTATTACTCAGAGACCAAACTCCATAATTACCTAAGTTTTGATGTATACATACGCATATGGCTAACAAATAAAACCCCTGCTCTTGTTTCAATATATGTGTGTATATATAACATAGATATATAAGACTACAAAAAGTGTCAAATACGTCCACTATGGATGGTCGTTATGAGCTTTTTCCAATCAATTTCTTTTCTTTTCCCAGTTTTTTCAATTCTCAGCAACAAAGCACCATGCAATCAAACTTACGCATCAAATATGAATCCCATAGCAGTTTTACAGTTCAATTTATTTTCATTCAGTTCTCTCAGCAACCAAACAACAAGCAATCAAAACTATGCACAAACTCAAATGCACAATAAAATGGATTTATATAAATCAGCAAAATGCATAAACGTAGAGCTATAAATCTGATGAACACATATTGAAAATAATTCGGATAGAGAGGGGGATTACCCATAGTTGGAGACACTACGGACACTAGGGTTTTTGCGGAAATGAAGAGCAGCGCAGAGCCGAGCCAATGGAGAGCAAGGCGTGTGGGACTCTGGAAGGTACCACCTGTATTGGCAGACAAAGTATATTATGCGACTCTGCGTGCTTGCAAATCAAATGTGTCCACTACAGTACTAAGATAAACTTCTCATAACTAGGGGTTCCATTTGGAGGTTTAAAAAAATCAAATTTCTTTCTTTCTTTTTTTTGGAAAAAAACTCGTTAATTAACTACAAATTCTTCTCACTCTTGGCTGGCTTACCAACTGAGCCAGAAATCCAACCCCACCCTTCACAGTTTGACCAGATGAGGGCTTGTTTGGATCGCGGCATAGGAGTGGATTGGATATCTAAAAAAATATCCTTTCCCATCCATCCACCTGATCGAGAACAATCATTGTTAACAACCTGTGATAGAGAAGTATGGTACATGGAATCTACCACTCCATTTGAATATTGAAATTTGAAAGTTCATTCCATCACAAACCAAAAGAAAATTTACATCAATACATTTGGCAAAGAAAACCACATGATAAAAAAAGCAAGATATGATTGGATTGCCATATATGAGAAAAAAGCAATCAACAACATAAATTAAAGTAACATAAGCAATTCCAATAAGGAAAGATTGAGTAAACCAAGGAGTGAATATGAATATATAAGCTAACCACCAAATAAATTTTGTATCGGGCAATTCCAAATATATGCCACAGCAAAACCTTTTGAAGCCATTCAATCAACTCTTCATTGATGGGTAAGCTAATTAAGCCCGGTGAATGGAATTTATACTCGGATTGTATTCCCAAAAAAAAAATGAAAATATAATAGGCAAAATGTCAAATTTCAAAAATTTCCTACCTGGAAAATATAACACGCAATAAGTAAAATTCCTTATATTTCCTAAATCCTCAAAACCCAAAGGTAGCATAAGCTTAAACTAGTTTTTCTATATAAAGCCCTCTATCACGCAGCAAAAAAAAAAAAAACAATGGCAAATATATTAACATCAAAGTCTCATTATCCTATTGGTGCACTTTGGAGAAACAAAAACAACTCATCAAAATTAAAAAGATAAATAGGAAAGAACTCAAAAACCAATCATCAAAAAATAATCCAATATTATGCAAAAAGCAAACCACAAGCAAAAAATAATTGACGTCTAACCAAACCAATTTGAAACAAAAAAACAAAGGGAAATTTTATAGACAGTTACCTCAGATTTTGATTCGGCTACCACCCAAGTTTCAAGATTGAGAAGTTGTAAGAAGACTGGTTCACTTATCCTTGGCAGGTCTACTCGTCTGAGTTCGCACCCAGAATTTTATCGAGTCAGGTGAAAACAGATAAGAATGTGACGGAGATGCGAGAGAGGGTGTGTAGTGGAGTGGATGAAAGGAGAAGGGAGTTGTATGGCCAACAGGGATGGAATGCCCTGGTTTCTGAGAGTGGGGAAGAGGGCGGTAGTAATTGGGAATGAGAGGAGCAATTAGGTCTTTGGGTGGTGAACTTCATCCACACCCCTATAGAATACTCTATCTTCAATGACATCGTTGCATCTTCTGAAATTTAACTGTACTCCATTCTAATTTATGTGTCCACTTCGTTAAGACTCCCTACCATAACCACGGCAATCTAAAAAGTGTTGGTGTCTTGCCTATATATTTTTTAAAATATTGTAAAACAAGTAAATTTACGAGTTCAAACAATTAAGAGACAGAAAAACAATACTGAAAGTGAGAGAAGAATAAAAATATATATTTCATTCGGTGTATTTTTTATTGAAAAATTAAAGGCCTATTAATTGGAAAAACCTAGTATTTTTGTATTGATGGTAGAAAGATGAAGGACTCCCGTACCCATAAAATATGATAATTATTTGTGCATTTTATGATTATGTCCAAATACTATTTACAACTATTTATGTATAATAGTCATCCATATTAATAATGTTTACAACACTCTCTTTTAGATGACTATTTACATAACAATATGGTGAAAATTTGGATTTTGATAAAATCGTTGGAATTCTAAGCACGACCTCGTTAAAAACTTTGTTAAGTAAAACACAGTATGAACAATCTTAGCGAAGGAAAAAATAGTATAGGTCTCCCTCTGTTGAAGGCATTCATTCAAAATGATAATTGTTCAGTTTTATAGATTTTTGAGATGTCGCATTTCGATTTGGTTCACTAATTTCTAGAATATAGTCGGTGGGAGTGTTCTGGTAAACAAATTTGCTAGATTTTCAGTCGAACGAATCTGTTAAACATTAATATCACCTGATGGGACATTTTCAAATACTCCAAGATGAAAACACGTGTCCTCGGCGTCACTAAATTCTTTTCCTATAAACGCGACACGTACTCGTTGGATCACAAGTCCCTGTTCCCCCGAGGTACTATTCATAGGGATCAATGACATTCAGTACGTTACATACGACACGTATCCCTCGGGGTCGGATAGGGTACATTGGTCCTACATGTACCAAACCCCCCCTCGGTACCGAGATGTACCCCCCGTCCAGGATGGCGTTCTCTGCTTCTGCAGAGGCTACTAATGTACAGATCACTAGCCTAGGGTAGGCTAGGTTAGCCATCATGACCTCGTCTTACACAATTGGTGTCAGAAAGCACAAGAAGGCAGGGGATACAGCCAATGGAGAATGGACGTGTGGCATATTGTGTCACATCAGAGATAGAAAGACCAGATGCCCTTGCTGACACACGACTTGGAAAAACAAGCATTTAATTACGTCATTCCCTTGATGAGACAGCATTTAATGTGGTAAGGCTTAAAAGTGAAAGGTAATAAATATGTCTAAGGCTGGACATTTATTACATCATTGCCAAGAGGAGTTCATTGAACAGTCGGCAGGCCGATGACACAACCTTGGTTGCTCGGGATCCCGAGCAGTTAAAAGAGAAGACATTCCTCATAGGAATCAATGCGCACGTTGCCTGTATCTAATGATCACCTACTGATCACACTGACAACAATCATGAATATTTGAGGTATAAATACTCCTCACAAAAGACAAGAGAAGGAGGTAAAACCTTTGCTCAAACATATACTCAGTGTTTTCTTCTTCCTTTCTCTAAAAAATTGACTTGATCGTCGANCAAGAGAAGGAGGTGAAACCTTTGCTCAAACATATACTCAGTGTTTTCTTCTTCCTTTCTCTCAAAAATTGACTTGATCGTCGGAGATGATATGCCGAAAAACACTCCGACGCCCTTCTAACTTGTCTTTCTTTGTTCTAGGGACCTTCCTCAATTTTACTGGATCGTTCCGTTGATCCACGAGGGTCTCTCATTATCGTTTAAGGTTACCACCGAACCTCACACCTTTCCAAACAACGAGGCTGACCATTTGATTGATTGGTTCGAGTTCACCACGGAAGAGATATGTTCTCAAGATTATATTATGCAAGATCGTGCACGCACATCACCATTCTTCTACAGCTCGTGTGTGTAAAATAATTTTAGTGATACATGGTGCATTGCACGTAAATAATTTTCGTATATAAAATTTTATAAAAAGTTTTAGGTATATGTGTACCCAAATTAAATATCATCTCAAGTTTATAAAAAAATATATTTATTGTTCGTATTATACTATAAAATTAAAAAAATGTTGTCTGTTCCCAACGATTCATTATTCTAATTACAAGAAAAAAATAAAAAAAATAATTCATTTGATTATGTTTCAAATTATAATTCATTGAATAAAATAACAATACTTGTCAATATTCTAATCAATGATTATTTTTAAAGGTAACACAGTCAATTAAAATGTTTCATAGATATTAATATTTATACATAAAGAATAGAGAATTAAAAGTGATGTTAAGGGTAATTTGAAAATTTAAACACTAAGGATGTGATGATAATTTAGCTATTTAACTATGGAAGGATAATGTGGTATTTAAAATTTTTTATAAGGATAAAATAATGAATCAAAATTTTTTTATGATAGGGTACTTTTATTAGTGGTATAGATATAGATATGTAAAGTTTGTTTAAACATTTTGTGTAGTATATAGTAAAACTTAAGTCATGGACAAATTTAGCCACATATTAACATGTAAAATAAGAGTTTCAATAATCTACTCTAAATTTAATATTTGTCATTTCTAAAAAGATAACAAATAGAGGGATGCTTATATTATGATAAGCTTGGGACAGTCTACTTCAAAATTCACTATCATATATTTTAATGGGAAAAACAAATAATTTGTGAACATTAATTGCTTCATTATTTACTGAAAGACAAATATTAAATTACACTTCAAAAGAAATGTCATATATGCTTCATAAACATCTTAAAAAAATAATTACACATAAAAATCTATAATGAACATAGTTAAATTTTTTTGGGTTAATCTCATTTTGCACCCTGAAAGATTGTTCGAATCTCAATTTGCACCCTCAAATATCAAAAATCTCAATTTACACCCTCAAAGATATAAATTTGTATCAATATGCACCCCCAAAGATCAAAAATCTCAATTTACACCCTCAAAGATAGAAATTTATATCAATGTGCACCCCAAAGATAAAAAATCTCAATTTGCACCCTCAAAGATATAAATTTGTATCAATATGCACCTAAAACTAAATTAATAAATTATACCTAGATCCCCTCATACTTATCACTTAATCATTTAGACCTCTTCACATTTAGAATATTACTCCTNTAAAGTTCAAAATCTAGTTTACTATTTGAATGTCTAATAAAATGTAAATATTTATATAATGTTTTTCATATTACCTTTTATATAAATATATACATTTTATTAGACATTCAAATGGTAAGTTTGATTTGCAACTTTAGAGTATATCGAATCCATAAAATAAAAGGTAATATGAAATTATAATTTTTTATTAGGATAAAATCATATTTTTTAACGATTATATTAACAGATATCAACGAAAAGTGGTTATGTGTTACACATGCACAAGCGTAATGAGATCTACGGGGAATATTCTAAATGTGAAGGAGTTCAAATGATTAAGTGACAAACATGAGGGGATCTAGGTATAATTTATCAATTTAATTTTAGGTGCACATTGATACAAATTTCTATCTTTGAGGGTGCAAATTGAGATTTTTTATCTTTGGGGATGCACATTGATACAAATTTATATTTTTGAGGGTACAAATTGAGATTTTTGATATTTGAGGGTACAAATTGAGATTTAAACAATCTTTTAGGGTACAAAATGAGATTAACTACATTCAAATAGTAAAATGTATATTGTCAAAAATTAGTATTTAGTACCTTATGTCATAGAGTAATTCAAAAAACTNCTTTGAGGGTGCAAATTGAGATTTTTTATCTTTGGGAATGCACATTGATACAAATTTATATTTTTGAGGGTACAAATTGAGATTTTTGATATTTGGGGGTACAAATTGAGATTTAAACAATCTTTTAGGGTGTAAAATGAGATTAACTACATTCAAATAGTAAAATGTATATTGTCAAAAATTAGTATTTAGTACCTTATGTCATAGAGCAATTCAAAAAACCNAACTACATTCAAATAGTAAAATGTATATTGTCAAAAATTAGTATTTAGTACCTTATGTCATAGAGTAATTCAAAAAACTTAGTTGAACCATGATCTACATGATGGAATATCTCGTTTCAATTATTCAATGCATAAGAATAATCACGTAATTTTTTCTACCCATGAGATATAATGTTAAATACGCAAAATGAGTTTCAGTGCTAAACAAAAAATGAACTTTTACCATGGAAATTAAACACATTAAATGTATATAATTCAGAATAAATAAATCTTAAGGTGTCATTTTCACAGTGACCTTCCACCTTTGATCACTCTTGTTCATAAATAAAAAATACTTAACAAATCAAGAAGACAAATTTCAAGATATTAGNTTTACCATGGAAATTAAACACATTAAATGTATATAATTCAGAATAAATAAATCTTAAGGTGCCATTTTCACAGTGACCTTCCACCATTGATCACTCTTGTTCATAAATAAAAAATACTTAACAAATCAAGAAGACAAATTTCAAGATATTAGTGCAAGTCTAGCTCCAAACAAAACATAAATCACATGAAAAGAGCAATAATCTGCAACAAAATAAAAAACGTGAGTATGAGATAATGGGAGAGGAATAGAATAGTATTCTTATTAATTTATGATAAAATTCATGGGATTAAATATTTGACTATTAGTTATCCATGTAGCCATAAGATAGAAGATGAAATTATTCAATTTCCATTTGATTAATTAATATATTTATTGCCAGGAATTTGTATCGTCTACAAAGCTACACATAAATTCATATTAGATAAATGATAAAATAAATTTTATGATGGTTATCGATGGCATAATAGTTGTATTAATGGNGCAATAATCTGCAACAAAATAAAAAACGTGAGTATGAGATAATGGGAGAGGAATAGAATAGTATTCTTATTAATTTATGATAAAATTCAT